CATACCACAATGGGGGGACAAGGTGTAGGGTACCAGCTTCCGCTTTGTCCTCAGCGAGCCTTCTGCTCCCTCAACAATCTGAGTGACCCAGGCACCCCCCCCCTTTTTTTTTCACTTTTTAAAATGTGGCTTACAATATATTCCTACTGGGCAGTGCTGATCTAGAAAGCACAAAGTAGGGGAAGGGGAGTGGGGTTTTAAGAAGGACAATAGCTTGGCCAGTCTGCATCTGAAACATGACTATCAAGCAGTGTGTAGAAGAGAGACAAAAGATGGGACAGTCTGAGGGCAAAGAAAACAATTAAAAGACTGCTGTGATGACCCATGAAAGAATTGATTATCATATTCAATGTTACAAAAGTTGTATTTCTCTTTGATAAAGTTGCCATTTACTGCATTAGTAGTGTGGAAGCAAAGTACAAATAAAATACATTATCCAAAATATATATGAGTGACTTTGTTTTGGAAAGCAGATACCCAGTCTTACACGTGTTTATATACACACACATACTAACACCTCCTGCTGTATCCATTCCTGACCATTTTTTGGATCAACTCTAGACTAACACAGCCTGGGAGAATTTGGCCTTCTGTGGATTCACACAAACAAGTAATCTGGAGCTGGTAGAAATAGAAAGAATGTGGGTCTGCTTATTTAGGTCTGCTTACTTTGGTCTGCTCATTACCAATCGTGTGACCCTTTGCTTAAACTCTCTTGAGTGTCACTACTTTCATAAGAAAAATAGCTAAAGCTTCCACAGGTTCTATGGGAGATTAAAGGAAAAAACTTTAAAAGTATGTAAAACTAAATAATTAATGTTATAAAATTGTAGGTATGCTTGCTATTCTATGCCACAAAGTAAACCACCTTCATGCATATTGGTGGAGGGTTGACTATAATTTCACTCCCTTGGTTCTGCGTGAACTAAGCCTCCTCGCACTTGGCAAGACGGTTGTTCTGGATGGCGTGAGACATTCTTCTTCTGCTCAGAGCAGTTTGGCATCCTCAGGTGAGCATGTTCTCCTTTCCATTGACGGCGCTGGCAGTAGGCTGAACTGGATAAGGAAGGATAGGACAGGTTGTCTGAAGGTTAAGTAAATGAGACCCCGTTCAGCTAACATGCTGGCTATCTGGCCACACAGATGTCTCAGGGCTTTTCCTTCCCTCAGTTGAGTTGGATATCACAAGGTTTTCAGACTCAGAGCCTAAGCATATGTCAATATTTAACTCCTCTGCAAACATTATTACTGGATTAGAAACTTCCAAGTTTGATATTTTTATTTTTAAATGTCCAAGGTTTTAAAGTCAAAGGTGAATCAATGTTAGGTAATGCTCTGCTGAATTCAGGAGACATGAGGTTATTTTTCTATGAGAGTCCACTTTCAATGCCATGGGATACCTGAGGGAGGAATGCCAAATCTCTATCATCCTTTACAGGGCCCACCCCCTAGCCCACAATCCTGAGACATGAGGGTAACAAAAGCTGATGGAAAGCAGAGTTTGGGTGATACCTCCAACCCACCCATCTGCAGCACTTGAGAATTTCCTATGTATTCAGCACACTGAACTGCTCCAACTACCCTTCAGTTGTGTCTGGGAGCCCAGGCAATATTGAGTGAATTTTCATTAAACCTTGGGGTATTATGTGGCTTCAGATTGCTTATAAAACAATGGTCACCATCAAGGACTAAATTGAAAAATGCCCATTAGAATTAAAATTCTACAAAAACAGAGTGAAGAATTTAGCAATTACTTTTTATAATTCAAGAACTAGCTGGAAAGGGGATTTTTTTTATGTGCTAGAAGCTTTACTGGGCTTTGATCTAGTTGTCCTGGGGAACCCTGATTTTATTTTATGTTCTTATTTTTTTTATTATGTCATATTAGTCATCATACAGTACTTCATTAGTTTTTGATGTAGTGTTCCATGATTCATTGGTTGTGTATAACACCCAGTGCTCATTGCAGTACATGCCCTCCTTAATACCCATCACTGGACTAGCCCATCCCCCACCCCCCTCCCCTCTAAAACCCTCAGTTTGTTTCCTGGAGTCCATAGTCTCTCATGGCTCGTATCCCCCTCTGATACCCCCCCATTTTTCCCTTCTTTCTCCTAATGTCCTCCATGCTATTCCTTATGTTCCACATATAAGTGAAACCATATGATAATTGACTTTCTCTGCTTGACTTATTTCACTTAGCATAATCTCCTCCAGTTCCATCCATGTCGATGCAAATGGTGGGTGTTCATCCCTTCTGATGGCTGAGTAATATTCCATTGTATATATGGACCACATCTTCTTTATCCACTCGTCTGTTGAAGGGCATCTCGGCTCCTTCCACAGTTTGGCTACGGTGGACCTTGCTGCAGAAAGGGGATTTTTAAAACCAAAAATTAGGAAAAAATCTGTCAAAGTATTAATATTATGCATGTATACCAATCAAATCCCATGGTAAAAGGTACAGTGAAGGATTCAATGCTTCGTACTGAACTGTTCTTAAAAGTAGGAGAAATCATTGTACAACAAAATAATCTCCCTTGGTTAAGTTAATGCTAGTTGTTATAACCCTGAAATATCAGTGGCTTAAAACAATAGGAACTTATTTCTTGCTCATGTAATTTCAAAATGGATGTTTGTGGTTCATGGGTGGCTTTCCTCTAAACGGGGGAACCAAATTCCTCCCATCCTGTGGCTCGCCAGCTTCTACGCATGGCCTTCAAAGTCACTGTATTTGTCTACTTCAAGCCATGGAAGGTAAGGTACATGGAGGATCATGTATGGGTTTTGTGAACAGGACTGGAACTGGTGCATATCTGTGCACTCGTGTCTCATTGCCCAGAAGTTGCTTAGGAGGCCCATCTTCCTGCAAAGATCGGGTAATAGAGTCTAGTGCTATTCCCTGTAGGAAGAGGCCAGCAATCTCTGCCACATACTCTAGAAGTTCCTAGATCATGTGTTAGTGATCTCAAGGAAGCAATATGGTTCATAAAATTTTACAAACCAGCTCAAGAGTTTAGCCAGATTGAATTTAAATGAAGAGCTGGTATGATAGACTGGTGATTATATACAATGCCTTCACGGTTTGGGAAATTGAATCTTCCCCAAACACCCTAAAATTTCAACCTATTTCAGTTCGTAAAATAATTCCCCCATGAACTCTATCTAGTCTCACTTTCAGAATTTGGTGATTGTTTGTCCTAACTCCATAACCTGTATTGAATAAAGGTGACCCAAATTATGGATTAAATTTTATACTATCTAAAATGCCAACCTGGAAATTTGGTGTGAATTATTTGGTAATTCACCAAGAATATAGTTTACTTCATAGTAAAACCCAGAGTTTGGCGCACTGTTGTTTTTTTTTTTCCCAGTTTATTTGCTTGCTTGTTTTTAGTAAAAACAGGTTCAGAAAATTATAATTTTCTGTGTAGACAATTGTTCTGGAGCAATTATGCAAACTAAATTGCTTTTCATATTCATTTCCTCAGTTTTTCATTCATCACACAGACATGTGTTAAGGGCCTGCTTTGTACGAGATGGGCTCCACACTGAGGAGGGACAACAATTCTCTTCCCAGAGGATTTCACCCTTCTCAAAGTTTGTGGCCAACAACTGATTGTGATGAGTGTCAAATGAAAGAAGTTCGAAACAGAGGTGTTCTCAGAGGGGAGAAGGAAGCCAACTTAATCAGGGCTGGAGAAGAGTCCCTAAGGAAGGGATCAAATGCTGAGACAAGAAGGATTCGGTGGGGGTTTGGTTTGACTCCCACCCGTGGAATCCCTTCCTGGTGTCTTCTGTCCTGATTTTAACATCTCCTTGCCCAACTTTTTTGAACTTCCCTCATACACAAATAATTTCATTGCTTTTTTTCTGTACCTATAAACTTTGTCAGGGAACTGAATTATTCTTTGACCATTTTTGACCTGCAAACATGGCAATTTCATAGGATTCAACTTATATCTGTGATGGTATCAGGCTGAATGGCTCCAATCTCTTAAAATTATGGTATCCCATTACAGTGTTTTTAAAATTTATTTTAAGCAATCTATCCCCAACTGAAAACATTTCAGTTCTTTTCTATCAAACGCCTCTCTTTCAGATTATTTTTCCCAGACCATTTTTTTTTCCAAGTTGAATTTTATTTTTCTCTCTTATTCCTAATTTTATTTGAGGGTGAGGTCACCAATTCTACCTCTTTGCTCTTAGAAGTACCCCCAACTCCTTTTGTCAGTTCATTTATTCTTTTCTCCCTGTTATTGTTGAGAAATACACTAGTTCCATAGACTATCAAAATAAAATATCAACAACTTTCCTAAAAAGAATGAACCCTTTTGAAGAATGGTTTCTAATTTTATGCCTTTGAGGGTAAGGCAAGGTTATATGAAAACTACTCAAACTGGTAAGGTTTTAGTATTTGTTTTCAAGACTGCTTTTACCAAATCTGTGAAAACAATTTAGTTTCACACATATCCACACAGCAGCACAGAGAATTGTAAACTAAAAAAAAGCGGGGCAGACTAGAATCCTTCACTACAATGAAATTATGGTGATTCTGAGCATGATGTAGTCTCATCAGAAGAGAATAGTCTGTATGAATCCTCTTTTCTTTAAAGATTTTATTTACTTATTTGACAGAGAGAGACAGCGAGAGAGGGAACACAAGCAGAGGAAGTGGGAGAGGGAGAAGCAGGCTTCCCGCTGAGCAGGGAACCTGATGCGGGACTCGATCCCAGGACCCCGGGATCATGACCCGAGCCGAAGGCAGACGCTTAACGACTGAGCCACGCAGGTGCCCCTGTATGAACCCTTTTCTCATCTTCCCACAAATACTGTGGGAAACTTGACGTACTCTATCAATCTGAGTTTATTTATGATTAAAATTAGAAATGCACACTTGGAACGTCCTCTCTTTTCATGCCACTTTTCCATGGAACTTCTCAAAGAGATAAGGTTTACTTATAAAAGGACCTGTAAGGGCACTATCTGGTTGTGTGTGGAACCTGACGGAACTGCCGCGGTGAGTCAGTAACAGGTTTTCCAAGCCTAATTTACTAGAATTTATCAATTTTCCCCCAGAGAAAGGTTTAACTGAGCTTGAATTATGCCAATTTTTTAAAAACATATTTAGTCAGACTCAACAATATTTTTTACTTTGTTTAGATGCTGCTAATCTGGGCACTATCGCTGCTTCTGGGAGCAGTAGTAGGTAAGAAAAGATATTTATGTAGTGCTGAAAGAGATTTCCTGTTCAGAAAGTTCATGATGGCTGAATTCAAGCCACTATGGCATAAGGAGTAGAGCAAAAAAGATGCATGATGGAGAGCACAGGCACTTGGAGTAAGGTTGCTAGATAAAATCTAAGATACTCAGGGCCCCTGGGTGGCTCAGTCGGTTAAGCGTCTGCCTTCGGCTCAGGTCATGATCTCAGGGTCCTGGGATCAAGCCCGGCATCGGGCGCCCTGCTCCGCGGGAAGCCTGCTTCTCCCTCTCCCACTCCCCCTGCTTGTGTTCCCTCTCTCGCGCTCTCTCTGTCAAATAAATAAATAAAATCTTTAAAAAAAAAAATAAGATACTCAGTTAAATTTGAACTTCAGATAAACAAATATTTCAGATAATCAATGAATACCTGACAAAATTATACCAAAAAGTATTCATTGTGTATCTGAAACTCACATTTGACTTTTATTTTCGTTTGCTAATCTAGCAACCCTGGCTTGGAATCAAGTGTGGAAGCTGAACCTTGTTTCCACCAGCCACAGGTGTATTACCCTGAGCAAAATTCTTAACCTCTCTGTGCTTCACTATCTTCATCTGTGAAATGGGCGTATAATACCACCCTTAATACGGGATAACTGTGAGACTTACATAAGACAAGTCGTGTAAATCGTCTTGTGTGGCCCCTGGCACATAATAACTTTTGAGAATGCCGCCCCCACAACAGCTACTACTCCCCTCCTACTATTAATCTAGACTTTATCCTCCTGGACATCCCTTCTTTGTGTTGTTCTTTCATAGGTTAACATTCAAGCATAGGGTTGTGTCAAACCATGGATTTTCTGTTTGATTATTCATGAGCAGCTTCTTCATCACGGGAATCCAGAATGCTCCTCAAACATAGGTCAGAGACCTAAATACTCAGCGAGGTAGAGATATAAAGTTTTGGTATTTGCATGAAACTTAAGCTCTCTACCCAAAGCCCAACACCAGAAGATGGCTGCAAAGAATTGAAAACCTCACCCCTCTCTATTGAGGCCTGGGGACAAAAGGCTGCTCTTTTCTTGGGTACCAGTGGCCCAAGGAAGACATCGCATTGAGAAGCCAAATTGGGTCCCAGCCCGGGACTGGACAGAGACATGAGGGGAGTCAGGTGGTCGTACTTTTAGAAATGAGGAGCAGGAGCCTGTCTTTAGCTGGGACGCTGAAGCTGTTTTGTGAGTGCATCTATAGGAAGATGTCTGGGGATGCAGAGGAAGTAAATATCCCATAAAATGTAATTTAACTCATATTTTGGCAGAGAGACTATTAAAAAAAGAGCATTCTGATTAAACTAACATCCTTGAAACGCTTCTGGGTAATTACAGGAAAAGAAATCTGCTTCCCAAGACTTGGCTGCTTTAGTGATGACTCCCCATGGGCAGGAATTGCGCAAAGACCCCTCAAAATACTGCCTTGGGCTCCAGAAGATGTCAATACCCGCTTCCTCCTATACACTAATGAGAACCCGGATAACTATCAAGTAAGAGAACTCATTGTTTTCAGAACTAAGTCCTATCCATTTTATCTAATAAGAATACTAAATTTTTAAGTTTTCTGAAGAGAGCAAATTAGTGGAATTTTCATCTTTGTAGACTTTTGGGGCAGTGAGGTTAAGTATTATTTTATGTAACTTGTTTATAGAAGGTCCATTAACTTGATATTATTCTCTTTTTGTTTTAATTTAGATTCACTTTATTTTCTATTGAAGAATGATTGACATAAAATATTGTATTAGTTTCAGGTGTACAACATAGTGATTGAGTATATAAAACCATTATGAAATGGTCACCACAATAAGTCTAGTTACCATGTCACCATACAAAGTTGTTACAATATTATTGGCTATATTCCCTATGCTGTACATTACATCTTCCTGTCTTATTTATCTTATAACTGGAAGATTGTACCTCTTAATCCCCTTCACTTATTTCATCCATACCCCCACCTCCATCCTCTCTGGCTACCATTTCAGTTTGCTCTCTGTATCTTTAAGTCTCGTTTTGTTTTGTTTATTCATTTGTTTTGTTTTTTAGATTCACATATAAGTAAAATCATATGGTATTTGTCCTATCTGACTTATTTCACTTAGCATAATACTCTCTAAGTACACCCATGTTGTCATGAATGGCAAGCTTTCATTCTTTTTTACGGCTGAGTAATATATATATATATGTATGTATTTTACACATCTTCTTTATTCATTCATCTATCAATGGACATTTAGGTTGCTTCCATATCTTGGCTATTTTAAATAATACTGCAATGAACATAGGGGTGCAAATTTCTATTCAAATTAGCGTTTTCATTTTCTTCAGATAAAAACCTAGAAGTGGAATTGGTGGATCATATGGTAGTTCTATTTTTAATTTTTTGAGGAATATCCATTCCATTTTTTATTGGTGACTGCACCAATTTACATTCCCACCAACAGTGCATGAGGGTTCCCCTTTCTCCATATGCTCACCAACACTTGTTAATTCTTATTTTTGATAATAGCCATTCTGACAGGTGTGAGGTGATATCTCACTATGGTTTTGATTTGCATTTCCTGATGATGAGTGATGTTGAGCATCTTTTCATGTGCCTTTTGGCATTTGTATATCATTTTGGAAAAACGTCTAACAAGATCCTCCTCCCATTATTTTATCTGACTGTTTTTTTGATATTGAGTTTTATGTGTTCTTTATGTATTTTGGATGTTAACCTTTTATTAAATATATCATTGGCAAATATCTTCTGCCATTCGGTAGATTGCCTTTCATTTTTGTCGATGGTTTCCGTTGCCGTACAAAGGCTTTTTAGTTTTATGTAGTCCCATTTGTTTATTTTTGCTTTTGTTGTTCTTGTCTGAAAAACATTGCTAAGCAAAAAATATTGTTAAGACCAATGTCAAAGGGGCGCCTGGGTGGCTCAGTTGGTTAAGCGACTGCCTTCGGCTCAGGTCATGATCCTGGAGTCCCAGGATCGAGTCCCGCATCGGGCTCTCTGCTCGGCGGGGAGTCTGCTTCTCCCTCTGACCCTCCTCCCTCTCATGCTCTCTGTCTCTCATTCTCTCTCTCTCAAATAAATAAATAAAATCTTTAAAAAAAAAAAAAAGACCAATGTCAAAGAACTTACAGCCTATGTTTTCTTCTAGAAGTTCTGTAGTTTCAGGCCTTATGTTTTGTCTTTACTGTTTTATTTTTGTATATGGTGTAAGAGAGTGTTCCAGTTTCATTCTTTTACTTGTGGCTGTCCAACACCATTTATTGAAAAGCCTGTCTTTGCCCCACTGTATATTCTTGCCTCCTTTGTTGTAGATTAGTTAACCATGTAAGTGTGGGTTTATTTCTGGGCTTTCTATTCTGTTCCATTGATCAATGTTTCTGTATTTGTGCCAGTGCCATATTGTTTTGATTACTATAGCTTTGTAGTATAGTTCAAAATTGAGAGCATGCTACTTACAGCTTTGTTCTTTTTTTTCTTCAATCTTCAATATTGTTTTGGCTACTCAGGATCTTTGGTGGTTCCATACAAATTTTAGGATTATTGTTCTAGTTCTATGAAAAGTGTCATTGATGTTTTTATAGGGATTGCATTGAATTTGTGTAGCATTGAATTGCTTTGGGTAGCATGAACATTTTAATAATATTAATTCTTCTAATCAATGAGCAAGGTAATCTTTTCATTTATTTGTGTTGCCTTCAATTTCTTTCATCAGTGTCATAGTTTTCAGAAGATAGGTCTTTCACTTCCTTGGTTAAATTTATTCCTAGGTATTTTATTCTTTTTGATGCAATTACAAATGAGATTATTTTCTTAATGTCTCTTTCTGCTAGTTCATTATTACTGTATAGAAATGCAACAGATTTCTGTGTATTGATTTTGTATCCTGCAACTTACTGAATTCATTTTTTAGTTCTAATAGTTTTTTAGTGGAGGCTTTAGGGTTTTCAATATATAGTATCCTGTCAGCTGCAAATAGCGACAGTTTTGTTTCCTCTTTTCCAATTTGGATGACTTTTATTTCGTTTTTCTTGCCTAACTGCTGTGGCTAGGATTTCCAATACTATGTTGAATAAAAGTAGAAAGAGCAGGCATCCTTGTTTTGTTCCAGATCTTAGAAAAATAAAAGCCTTCAGCTTTCACTGTTGAGTATGCTTTGAACTGTGGGTTTGTCATATACATCTTTTATTATGTTGAGGTACATCTCCTCTATGCCAATTTATTGAGGTTTTATCGTAAGTGGATGTTGAATTTTGTCAAATGCTTTTTCTGCATCCATTGAGATGATCATATGATTTTTATTCTTCGTTTTGTTAATGGGGTATATCACACTGATTGATATGTGGATATTGAGCCATCCTTGGATCCCTGGAATAAATCCCACCTGACCATGATACATGATCCTTTTAATGTATTGTTGAATTCAGTTTGCTGGTATTTGTTGAAGATTTTTACATCTATGTTTATCAGGAATATTGGTCTGTAATATTTTTTGTAGTGCTTGTCTAGTTTTAGTATTAGAAGAATGCTAACCTCATAGAATGAGTTCAGAAGCATTCTTTCCTCTTCAGGTTTTTGGAATAGTTTGAGAAAGATAGGTGTTAAGTTTTCTTTAAATATTTGGTAGAATTCACCTGTGAATCTGTCTGGTCCTGGACTTTTGTTTGCTGGGAGTATAATTACTGATTCAATCTCCTTACTAATAATCGATCTGTTCAGATTTTGTATTTCTTTCTGATTTAGTCTTGAAAGATCATATATTTCTAGGAATTTGTTCATTCTTTCTAGGTTGTCCAACTTGTTGGCATATCACAGTTAGTAGTAGTCTCCTATGATCCTTTGTATTTCTGTGGTATCAGCTGTAACTTCTTTTTCATTTCTCATTTTACTTATTGGCCCTCCCTGTTTTTTTCTTGATGAGTCTGGCCAAAGGTTTATCAATTTTATTTACCTTTCAGAGAAATAGTTCTTAGTTTTATTGATATTTTCTATTGTTTTTTTAAGTCTCTATTGCATCTATTTCCACTCTGATCTTTATTATTTCCTTCCTTCTACTAACTTTGGGCTTTATTTATTCTTCTTTTTTAGTTCCTTTAAGTATGAGGTTAGATTGTTTATTTGAGCTTTTTCTTATTTCTTGATGTGGGCCTGTATCACTGTAAACTTCCCTCTTAGAACTGCTTTTGCTGTGTCCCATAGATTTTTGAACATTGCATTTACATTTTTATTTATCTCAATATTGATTTAACTACATCTTTGATTTCTTCCTTGACCCATTGGTTGTTTAATAGCATATAGTTTACTGTCCACATGTTTGTGTTTTTTCCACTTTTCTTCTTGTAGTTGATTTTTAGTTTCATACCAGCGTGGTCAGAAAATGTGTTTGATATGATTTCAATCTTCTTAACTCTATCAAGGCTTGTTTTGTGGTCTAACATTTGACTTATTCTGGAGAATGTCCATGTGCACTTGAAAAGAATGTGTATTCTGCTGTTTGGGGATAGAATATTCTGTAAATATATGTTAGTCCATCTGTTCTAATGTGTCATTTAAAACCACTCTTTCCTTATTGATTTTCTATTGGGAGATCTATCCATTGATGTAAACACGGTGTTAAAGCTCCCTGCTATTATTGTATTATTGTCAATTTCTCCCTTTGCATCTATTAATATTTGTTTTATATAACTAGGTGTTTCTATGTTGAGTGCATAAATATTTACAAGTGTTACATCTTTTTATTGGATAGATCCTTTATCTTTATGTAAAGTCCTTCTGTGTTTCTTATTATAGCCTTTGTTTTAGAGTCTATTTTGTCTGATATAAGTATTGCTACTCCAGCTTTCTTTTTGTTTCTATTTACTTAAAATATCTTTTTCCAGAGGCACCTGGGTGGCTTATTTGTTAAGCATCTGCCTTTGGCTCGGGTCATGATCCTAGGGTCCTGGGATCGAGCCCTGCATCGGGATCCCTGCTCCATGGGAAACCTGTTTTTCCCTCTCCCACACCCTCTGCTTGTGTTCCCTCTCTTGCTGTCTCTCTCTCTGTCAAAAAATAAATAAAAAATCTTTAAAAAATAAATAAATAAAATAAAGTATCTTTTTCCATCCCTTCACTTTTACTCTACATGTGTCTTTAGATCTGAAATGATCTAAAATGATCCAGTAGACAGCATATAGATTGGTCTTGTTTTTTTAATCCACCCAGCTACCCACTGTCTTGATTGGAACTTAATATCATTTTTATCCTACCTCTGTGTTGCCATTTAATAAACATTCTGAATATAGTTATATATAATATATGTATACATATATATAAACTCTCCCAATATTATATATAATCTCCCAACATTATATATGTGTGTATGTGTGTGTATACAATTTACATACACACACACACACACACACACAAAACCTTCCATTGTTTGGAGACAAGACCCCCTACATCAATATTATAGCAGAAATTTATCCTGAGTAGAGCAACTGCAGAAATGTTATGATGTCTGAAACTTGATGATCGCAAATAGCTTGCCTGTAATAGGAGAATCCTTATTCACAAGGATCTCAAGTCTTGATGGTGTTCTCCTACCTGCCATCTCCCTCCATGTACAAATGGTTCTATTGGACATATGAGAAACTTGACATTAAACACTTTTCTTCCCAAAATAGGAACTTATTGCAGATCCGTCAACTATCACAAGCTCCAATTTCAGAACAGATAGAAAAACCCGCTTTATTATTCATGGATTCATAGACAAGGGAGAAGAAAACTGGTTGGCCAATATATGCAAGGTGAGACATGGTAATCAATTAAGGGAAGGTTGTTTCCAGAGTGACAATTAACGATGGGGAAGGCACAGGCTGCAACCAATCAGGACAAATGCCAGCCACCATGACACCGGAGGATCACCTGACTCTCCTGGGGTTTCACAGGGAGGTCCAAGAGGTGGTAGGGTGTGCAGGGGACCTGGGACAGTCAGGGCAGCAAGATTGGCAAGCATTTGGCGGCTCTAGGTAGTGGTTATTTAATAACTAATGCAGAGATATTTCAAAATTTTAATAACAGATGTTGCCATACTGATGCAGTATTAGTTGTGTTTTCAATAACATTTAATTTTTTCAGTAGGTCTTAAGTTCTATGTGAAGAACTAAGATAACTTACTTTGCCCAAATTGTTTTCCTCTGATTTTCACTTGCTACTCTTTGATCTCCTATGGTAACAATATCTAGGGAAACTGTGTAGGTTTTCATTTTCGACTTCTCTTGTTTCAACCATAGTGATCCAATTTTCTTTAATTTGCCTTTGGCTATGTGCCCCATGGTAATGAAGAATTAAAAGACAGAAAATAGAACATATTTTCCTAGCAACTGCTAGTGCTTGAGAACATTATCCTTGATTCATCTATTCACCAAGCGTTAGTGGCCCGCATAGCACACAGATGCAGTCATTCCTTCAGAGGTCGAAAAAACAAGACACAAAGGTCCTCCTAAACACTTTTAATTTCAGACTTGTCTATGACTCAAGCCAAAGGCTGGATTGAATCAACTCTAGAGACTATCCACTGATTCTGAAGACAGCCAAAATAAATAGGCTTAACTTCACAAGTTTAAAAATAATTAGCAAAACCCTAACTTATCTTCTAAAATATTCTAAGCTGATGATTATTAGGGGGAGGGTAGGAATAGATTTTTATAGAACAATGAAGGAAAAAGACAAAGTGGTTCTTAGGTCAAAGGGAATGTAAATTTTTAGATATGTGTACACAATTTATTTCTGAAATCCCCAAACCAGATTTGTTTTTCTTGCATGATTTGGCTTTGACAACATGGTTGCTTTATGACAGAGAAACAAATGGATTAACCTAGGTTAAAGGTCCTAGACTCTAGTACTGACTCTATCCTTAGCTAACCATGACATTAGCAAATCACTTTCCCTTTTTGGAGATTTCTATCTGTAAAGTAAAAGAATTGGAGATGATTTCTAAGATTGCTTCATTCTTCTAAAAGTTTTCTTGGAAAAAAGGTGAGGATATGCATAAACATACACACACCCAAACAAACAAAATTCCTGCCAGATCTAACATTCATGAATCTATCACTGACCTGCATCAAACAAAGCTTCCAGTACATATCTGGTAGGTTATGCTTTTATGTGAAGTAACTCACAGTAATGTACAATAAAATATGTTCTTCCAAAAACATTGATTAGTCTTTCCATCATGGAAAAGCTTACCCATTTACCTCCAGTATATTTATTTAAGGAAGTCCTAACATAGCCTTTCATTTATTCATTTATCCAATAAATATTTATTGAACACCTACTATGTGCCAAGAACACTTTGAGGCACTGTGGATACAGCAGTGAACAAAACAAACAAGGTCCTGGGGTGCACTCTAGTACGGGACAATGTAGGACATTGATTTTAATGATGCTTTAATGAAACAATCCACTGTACCCCATTTTATACATCTCTCCCTGCAACAAATGTCTATGCATCTGTTTCAGTAGATATCTCAAGAATCCAGTTCCCATTATGGCCAAACCCTCAATTTGGAGCCAATGTTAAACTTTAAAAGGAATTTCATATCCATAACAGACTAGAAGTTTTGTTCATTGTTGTAGGGTTAAAAATAAGCTTGATATTGTATAGGTCATGGAGGAAATTTATCCTCGTTCTCAAATGTGCTAATTATTAATTAATAAATATCCTGAATTCTTTACCTATTTATTGTGTCCGTTCCATCAGAACCTGTTTACAGTGGAAAGTGTGAACTGCATCTGTGTGGATTGGAAAGGGGGCTCCCGAACCGGTTACACACAAGCGTCACAGAACATCCGGATTGTCGGGGCAGAAGTGGCATATTTTGTTGAGGTTCTTCAGGTAACTACCTCTAGGTTGTATAAAAGTCCATGTCCATTGCTCTCTAGATTCTCTTTTAAAATAATTGCTGTAGGTATGATAATTGCTAAAGACATTCCTCTACTGAGATTTGGCTTTCCCTGTGGTTGAAAAGAAAAATGCAAAATCAATCAATCAATCAATCAATCTAGACTTGGGCTTCATCAATATGCTCTTTAAGTCAAAACGCTAGTTTTTTTAAGTGATGTTACTCAAGCAACCAGGTAGTTTGTTTCTACTGAATTCCATCAGTATTCCTTTAATTTTACCATCTATTAAAACAAGTTGGTGTGATAATGTCAGCCTCAAGATGAAAACTACCCTGTTTTTGTTTTTGTTTTTAATTTTTTTAACAGAAGCACAATGACACCAAGCTAACCTGCTTTGGTAACTAAAACCTTAAAAAAATGTTAAACAGGAATGTGCTTACATAATTGCTTGCTTTTTTTTTTTTTTTAAAGATTTTATTTCTTTATTTGACAGAGAGAGAGAAACACAGTGAGAAAGGGAACACAAGCAGGGGGAATGGGAGAGGGAGAAGCAGGCTTCCCGCGGAGAAGGGAGCCCGATGCGGGGCTCGATCCCAGGACCCTGGGATCATGACCTGAGCCGAAGGCAGACGCTTAACGACTGAGCCACCCAGGCACCCCTACATAATTTCTTTCATTATTATCTGCTAACGCATACATTTGCTTCACCACCTCTGGGTAACAATTCTTCATACACAGCAAGGGTTCCTCTACATAGTAAAACAACAAAAGAGAGCCCAACTTCCACCAGCTTAAACATTAGACCATTGCCATTTTCTATGATAACTGAAAAAAAAAGTCATGAAAATCAGTTGCTTTGAAGGAACAGCATATCTTCTTAAAACTCACGTTTTGCGAGGATCTCCTTCTATGGCCATCTTGAAGTTCACAATGTTAGAAAACATTCTGAAGAACTTTTCTTTCCAACAGTCAGCATTTGACTACTCACTTTCTGATGTCCACATCATTGGCCACAGCCTGGGCTCACACGCAGCTGGGGAGGCAGGAAGGAGGACCAATGGGACTGTTGGACGAATCACAGGTTGGTCAAAACAGTAAACACAGAAAATTTGGACTCAATGTAGCCTAAATGGGGTCTAAAAGGATGGAAATTTGGCATTTTCTGAATTGGGCCACATGATCAGAAATCAGTATGTTCTGAGGTTTTACAAATTTTTTACTGATATTGATCTTTGGCCTACAGAGCTCTGTTTAACATATATATATGTTAACATATATATAAATATTGCATGTGACTAAAATTTTAATTAAGAACATCAGGAGGTCTATTTTCCTGTTGCCAGGCATTCACAAAGGACAAGTTTCATGAATAGAATAAATAGCATAAATAACAGAATAAATAATAAATAGAATTAAACCCAAGGAACCCAAAAATGCATAATTAATTATATTCTGCTTCAGTAGCAATTGATAATTAGCCCAATCCTCATTGACCACAAGCCAAGAGTTGCAGGGGACAGGTGGTCAGGCCAGGCTAACCAATTCTGCATGCTTTGGTTAGATAAAAAAAATAGCATTTCACAAATCTTAAGACTGGATGCATTTGGCCAATGGGGTCACATGCTGTACACTCAGGCCTTAAAACAACATTGCAACTTTACACGAAAGACTTTGCTACCCTGGATCTGAGAGGTGACTATTTTAGGGAGCAACCACATTCCTCTTCCATCATCCTACTCTGTTTCTGACCTTCTGATTCTCTTTTTGATACTTTGGATAAACTGGTCGCATTTGGGTTGGTGGGGGCATCTGGATGTCTAACATTAATTTGCTGGAGAGAACATTCTTTCTCATAATCCGTGAATGTTTACAAGGGCCTGCTCAGCCAGGCACTCTGCAAAGCTGTGGTCCTGGTGACCGTGAAAACCAAAGTCCTTGCCCTCACAGGATTTTACCGTAGAATGGGGACTCTTTTATCCTGACCAGCTTTTAGGAGTCTCCCAGAATCTGTCTCTTTCCTTATAATTGCTGTTAGTGGCCAGGATTGTCCCAGGGGCTACACATCCATAAGTAGAGCCAAATTCCATGGTTTGAGGAAAATTCACTACAATGCAAATAGAAAATTAGACACAGAAAATGTAAAAAAAGTGATAAGGTCTGGAAGAACTAGCTTATCTCTTTCTAGGCATAAGTCATGGTTCCCGCCAATGCTTGCACTTGGGTAGGTAATTAATGAAAAAGGTCAATGTGAATGTACACTGATATTAACATGACATTCTATTTACTTTAGGGTTGGATCCAGCTGAACCTTGCTTTGAGGGCACGCCCGAATTAGTCCGATTGGACCCCAGTGATGCCCAGTTTGTGGATGTAATTCACACAGACGCTGCCCCTATAATTCCCAACTTGGGTGAGTTCTTCAATTCATCTTCTGCGAGTATTTTTTGAGTCCATATATTAGAGTGTTTTGAGTCTATACATCAACATCAACTTTCTCATATTTTAATATTCCTCAGGGTTTGGAATGAGTCAAACTGTAGGCCACCTAGATTTCTTTCCAAATGGAGGAAAACAAATGCCCGGATGTGAGAAGAACGTTCTCTCTCAGATTGTTGACCTAGATGGGATCTGGGAAGGTAAAACCATTATGTACATGAAGAGATTTTCTTAGGGGAAAATTTGTGTTTCATTTTTTGCTAAACTTGCTGAATATTTGGGTACAGGTCTCACATTTTCTACAACAAAGGACTTTTAACCCAAAATATAGACTTTTCACTGGGGAAAGTAGGCCTGAGGAGACTGTAGAAAGAAAATGTATTTGTAGTCAACTTTCCAAGGATCTAATTTGGGGAATGGATTACTAAGTTGTACTTATATCCATATGGACCAATCTCTTCCTTCTAAAGTTATTTTTCCATTTAATTTAGCAATGGCATTACTATTAAAATCTTAAATGGTATTTCACTTGTAACTGCATCACAAATCATAAATACACTTCAGAGATGATTTTGTTCTGTGACCACCACGAGTTCACACTAACTAGAAAAATCTATTCAACAACCATGTTCTAATTATGACATTAACTTGGAAAAATAAAACCTGTTGCTGATGTGTACTGTCTGATTTCAAAGGGACTCGTGACTTTGTGGCCTGTAATCACTTAAGAAGCTACAAATATTACTCTAATAGCATCCTCAACCCTGATGGCTTTGCTGGATTCCCTTGTGCCTCTTACAATGCTTTCACTGCAGTAAGTAGACTCCACTTTGTACCTAAAGAATTTTGTGACCATCACTTCTTATGATGGGTGTAGTTCACTGTACATGACATGCATTCAGCAAAAGTCACTACATGATTGCCACATTATTTATACTTTTAATTATACATATTTTTATTTTTTAATTGAAGCATAGTTGACATACGTATTTATCGTAATAGTGATGAGGCATTGGAGAACTTTAGAGAAATGGGCTTGTATACTAAGATGTCCCATGTCTACCTTGTTCTCTATCACTTCAGTATGTATCGCGAATGTTCAAACTTGTTTTAGAAATAATGATAGGGGCGCCTAGGTGGCTCAGTTGGTTAAGCGACTGCCTTCGGCTCAGGTCATGATCCT